GTTCCAGAACTGAAACAGCCAGCCTGTCCCTCACCCACTCTTCTCCCTGCTCCCAGTACATGCTGAGCCCAAGGACCTCACAGAGATTTACAGAGGGATCAGTATCACAGGCTGGGGAAACTGAGGCAGGAAGAGGGGCAGTGGTTTGCTCAAGGTCATACGTTGAATCAGTTGGGGAGTCAGGAGCAGAGCCCTGCTCTCTGCCTGCCAAGGAGCAGCACCTTCCCGGCTTTGCCTGGAGCTGCAGAGTTCTCCTCTGAAACACCCCAGACAGTCTTTTCAAGAGGGGTAAAGTTCAGCCGATCCCATTGTCCCCTGTTGCATTGGAGCCGGAAGCAGGGTTATGAGACTGACTGGACATTGTCCAGCCCATCGTGCTGGTAACCAGCAGCCGAGCTCCACGTAAGGGCCCGATCCTGGCAGCTGCACAGTACCCTCCTCTCCATTGGCTTCTGTGGGTGTGGAGGGCATTCAGCACCTTGCAGGAGCCTCTTGGAATCAAGCACACGCAGGGCTGCTGACACATTAACCCCCTGTTCCTCTGCATTCCCGGGGCTGGGACATCCCCAGGCAGCATCTCCAGGAAATCAGCCTCATCTGGGGAGAGAGGCTGGAGCCAGGCTAGTGGGAGGTGCCTTGTTAACAGAGCCAGGGTGAGTTTGGGCACAAACCCAGAGTAGGCAGATTCTGTCCGAAGGCCCCATTTGCAGTCCCTTTAGCCAAAGAGCCACTTTCCTTACCAGGCTCCTAGAGAGATACAAGGAGTTTCCCAGAACAGACGGTGTAATGGAGCCCGGTTCCTATCATGAATGCAAACAAGGTCACAGATCGATGCCTCCGCCTTGTACATTTCTATGCAGAGGCCACTTCAGTCAGGTAACCCTGCCAGATAGCCAGGCAGACCAGTTTACTAAGATCTAGGAGGGCAAACAGGCAGAGACGATACTAACAGGTAGCAGGACAGACCGACAGATGTGTAGACTAGAAGCTCAGAAAATAGAGAGATAAGGGAGTGAGGTAATACATTTTATTGGACCAACTTCCCTTGGTGAAAGAGAGGAGCTTTCACACAGAGCTCAGTGTGACTCGAAAGTGTCTCTTTCACCGACAGAAGTTGGTCCAGTAAAACACATGACCTCACCCACCTCGTCTCTCTAATATCCTGGGCCCAACATAGCTACAGCAACACTGCAAACTGCAAAGGTCCACTGGGAATAGCCAGCCAGCCCTTTGGCAGAAATATCACGACTATTTAACACGTTCGGTATATAACACCTCACATTGCTGGATGGATTGGTTGAGGTTTATTTTCTAGTGCTACAGCTCTGGGCACATTTACAAGTTTCAAACTGGCATTATAAATATCAGCACACTTGTCCATTGTGTGTGCAGGGTCAGAGTGCAAAGAGCTCACCTCCTACAACCGGGCCCTGAGTTTTAGCCTCCCTCAGCACCCCTTTAGACACCTACCTAAAGGCCAGACTCAAACCCTGTGGAGTTACTCCTGATTTACACCTGATTAGCTAGATTTTCACCAGAGCTGGGCACCCAGGGCTCGCAGCCCCTCTGAAAAATCTGGCCACTTCTTTCAGTGCCCAACTGGGAGTAGAGTCTATTGAATATCTGCTCCGTAATAACCTGCCTTTCCCTGCACTGGCTGCTTATGGCTGCCCACCAATGCACTCCTCCAAAGCTCCATGCCTAACCACCACTTCCTCACATGCCTCAGGAAAATGAAGCACCTTCCAGCATGTCTGGCAAAAGAGGACACGAGAGGCAGAGTTAAAGGGCTCTCACAAACAGCCTGCCAGGTTCCCCTTTCTGTTTAAATCAAGAGGGATTCTAGTTTGACGGCCTCTTCTGCTTGCACTGCAGCTGCAGTGCTGGGAGGAGACAGGGTCTCAGATCACTGCGGGCTTCACATGACCCTTCACATACCCCTGCAAGGTTGGTCTTATTTGTTCCTTCTCTCGGTACTGACTAAATCCTGGGTTGTGAGCTCCCTGGGGCAGCAACTGCCTGTGTACTATTTGTCTGTACAGTGCTCAGCCCATGGTGCCTCAATTGGGGTCCTTAGAAATAATAAATAATATAAATTATTAAAAATAATAGATTAGAAATAAAAAATAATAGCGGGGCCTCTTTCTGACATCACTATCCCGCTTTCACCCCAGTGTCACTCCTCAGCTGAGCAGTGGCAGTGTTCTGGGGCCCCACAGGTCAGCTTCCCAGAGGAGGAGAGATCAGTGATGCCAAGTCTGAGTATCTCCAAAGTGTGACTTGCTTTATTCACACAAACACCAGTCCTGGAACAGAGGGGGTCAAATAACATGGAGAGCAATCCCTTCTTCCAGGAATCTCAGCCCAGCATTAATGACCACTTCCCAAAGAGCCTCATGCATTGACTCCAATCAGAGCCCATGACAGAGAGCAAAGTTTCCTGCCACTCACATAGCTCCCTGTACGCAGAACCTTGACCAACCTAAAAGTAATGACACTAGTATTTCTTCCAACACTAAAAACTTACTCGCACATGCTGAAAAATTACTTAGAGGATATGTGTAGTAGCACTACCTGCTAATGCCTGCCATAGCCCCATATTCTGCAAAAGGGTAAACAGAGGCATAGAGAGGAGCCATGATTTGTCCAAGGTCACACAACGGTCAGTGACAGAGCTGGGATTAGAAGTCCTGCAGTTTCCAGCCCTGACTTCACATGACTTCGGAGATCAGACCAGTGGGGGAGCCCAGCTCAGAAGCATGGCTCTGATTTCTGATTAGATTCTCCCAGGGGATGGGCACCAGAGATAAAAGTGTGCTTATATTCAGGGCCCAAACCTGTGCCAGGGCAGCATCTCCTCAATTCCTATTCACTCCATCTGGGAGATAAGACCGCTCCACCCCAATGTTCAAACACTCCACGCCAGCAGGATTGGGCCTTTCTGCCCCAAATGGTTCAGGTCAGGGAAGCACCCCATGGTTCTGATTCTTTTCTGAATGTGCCTGAACCCCTTTGGTCTTGAGATCAGGCCTCACATCTGCCGAGTTCAGGTTTACCCATGAGAAATCCAGCATTGCCAGCTCAAACGGGCTGGCGAGCGAGCGGTCATTTCATGGCTGTCACTGGCTGAAACCCAGAAGGCGAGAGCCCCACACCATTACTGAAAAAATGAACCAAACTCTCCTGTTCAGGCTGGGTTGGATCCGAGTCTGGGGCAGATTTCAATCAGTGCAAACCAGCTTTCCTGCCCCCCGATCAAAGGACATGGTAAATACATCACTTGGCATGGGATGGCTGGGCAGACCTCCTCCCCACAGACAGACGGTCTGGCAGCCACCTCAGGCTGTGTGGTGATAATTCAGGGCGGGAGTGAAATGGACGTGAGCAAAAGGCAGAGGTGGTTGCTAGCTCCGGAGGGGCTGATCAGTTCCCTGACCATGAATGGAACTGATGTGACTCACTGGAATTGCAGGGCCAGATTCCTGTCCTGCTTTACACCACAGTAAATCCAGCATCACTCTGTTAAAATAAAGTCCCCGTGGTGTAGGTGAGAGCAGCATCTGCTCCTTCTCCCTCCACAAGAACTGTCTATGGGCCAAAACGATGTCAAACTGACGGGCAAGAGATATACAGCCACGTTGTCATTGTGCGCCTTCCAGAGCCCCGGCGCCGCTATGGGAAGTGCAGAGGACCACAGGACCAGCAGCAATCACGGGAGCCTTTCCCCGGTATTAGACAGAAACAGGCAGCAGGAGCCTTTCCCCAGTATTAGAAGCAGGCAGCATGGCTCCGAGGTGACAGTCCAACTCCCATTGAGTCCAGCGCAAGTTTTGTCATTGACAGCTATGGCAGCAGGGTCAGACCTAGCTTGCATGTCTTCCCCCAGCCACTAGCAGGTGCTGAAGAGGCAAGGGACACGGATATGTCCCTGCAGAGTGCCTACTGGTGCTAACGCTCCCTGCCCCTTGCATTCGGGGCCTGGCTTTCCCTTCTCCAGCCCTTCGGCATTGTTCATAGCAGCATTTTACATCCATTCTGCACTGGTGGAGGATCAGGCTGCAACCCATCCAGGTCACAAAGGCCCAGCAGGGCTCCCTGCACCCTCTCCCCCATGGCAGACCTAGAACCCAGGCGCCTGTAAAAACCACTGACATCTGGACCCGGGTTCAGAAAAAAACACTCCGCACAACCGGTGTGAGCACATCCACTCTGTCATAGCATCCCCAGCCAACGACGAGCGCTCCCCAGACAGCCTGCTGCCAGCACTCATTAAACGCCCCAACATTAAAGGCCCGGCACATAGCCGCAGAGTTTAGCAGGTAATGACGCACTCACGGCCAGCCTCATTTTGAGCTAATTACCCGGCGTCTCAATTTTTCTCTCTCATTACGCCGCAAGAGCCAATCAGCCGCATCCCGCTGCCCCTGGCCACCGAGTGCAGCAACCTCAGTGTTCCACCAGGCCTTGCCGAGTGCCAGATTTGGCCGAGTTAGTCAGTCAGTTACCCTAAAATACGCCCGCTGGCTCCTTCCTTCCCAGGCCCCTCACCCGGTGACAGAGCTGTTTGCTCAGGTCCCACGTGCTGCCTCCCACTCCAATCCCTAGAGGGGTGAATCCTAGCTTGACTCACCCAAGCCTGGGAAGCCCAGTTCAGGCCCGTCTGCAGGGCTGGTCGGTTCCTCACACGCGCGCTCCTCCTGGGAGAATTCACTCTTCTCCCTGTCTCCCTGCAGCCTGGAGATGGAGAAAGGAGTTAGCATATGTGACCCCCGGTGAATGTGTTACGAGTCCCACTCTGTGCCGCTCCACAGGGGATATGAGTTTGTTACAGCCCTCAAGCCAGGTGTCTGGCCTGTTTAACTCAAGCTGCTCCTTTGAGCTCTGGAGATCCCCGGTTCAATCCCTCATGTCAGGTGTTGGCCAAGAGGGCTACTGTCATGCATGCATGAAAAGCAGCCCCCTGGAGATGGGGTAGGGGTTCATTCCCCAGCTATTTGGAGACTGAAAGCTCGTTGGGCTGCCGGGCAGCAGACTCAGCCGGCCCCACGCCAGTAGCAGCAACAGGGGAAGCCAGAAGATCCGGGCCCCACAGCTGGAGGGGACCATGACAGAAAGGATGGGGCAGGGAGCCAGTGGAGGGCACAGCTGGTGGCCAGGCTGCCTCTCCTGGTTGGGAGGTAGGGCCCAGCATCTGATTCCAGCAGGGAACCCACCTGGTCCCCCTCGTGGCCTCTGGATTTGGAAATGGGCATGGGACTCACTAAGGATTGGGGGTGTTTAAACACGTGTCGGATCCTCGTTCCTTCCGTGAGGTCAGTGATGTGATGCTTATGGGTCTAAAGAGATCAGGGCTTGGGTCTGGTGCTTCTCTTACTGAGACCAGTGTAACTGGCACTGGCTCCACAGGGGGTTCCTCCTGATTTACACCAGAGTGAGTGAGAGGGGAATCAAACCCTGTGGAGTTACTCCTGATTTACACCCAGTTGGATGGGTGGATAACACAGGGATCAGGGGTTTGCTCCAAGTTGCTCCACACTTCCTATCCCAATGTCTTTTCAGCCACTCAGCCCGGGCAGGCTTTTTCCAGGGGGATTCTCTGTTCCACAGGGGATCATTGTGTCCCCAGACAGCTGTCCCTGGCACCCCCTCTGTGGCCACGCCCCCCCAGCTTGGCTTGGCAGTGGCAGAGAGGCCTCTCCCCTCCCAATGCTGCACTCTTGCTTTCCCCACACAGACCCCCCAGCTTGCGTGGAAGCTGGTGGAGCCCTGGGAGGTCACACCATTTGGCGATGCCTGCTGCAGTTCACACCCCTCTGAGCTATTGGTTCAGGCTCCCTGCAGACTCTGGCATTGCTGCCAGGGTCACAGGCAGGCCACATTATCAACTTTTTCTCTGCATCCACAAAGGCTTGAAACATCAGCATGGGGTGCTTAGGGGCTAGGTCTGGCTGCACCGGCGAAAGGGGGCAGGGAGTATAGAATGGGGAGCTGAAATGACGTGGGGCGCTGGGAACGATCCAGCTGTTTAACCGCACAGGACAGACCCAGCCGCAAAGGCTCATCTGAGCTACTCTGATGCTGCCCAGCTGGACCCCGGCTCCCCTGGGAGCCTGTGGGACCATCCCTCGCGTGCAGCTGTTATGGGATAGAGTTCGGTGCTCTGCTCCTGCGAGCGCAGCTGGGATCAACACCACGGCGGGGGTGGGATGCTTCTGGGAGCACAGCTCTCTCCCTTCCAGCAGGGCAGACTGCACAGCCTACAGCTCCCAAGGCCCAGGCGGCTACTGCAGCCCAGCCTTCTCGGCAAGCAGAGTGCAAGGCTGCTGGCTGGCGAGCTGGCTGTGTGTTGGGACTCGGGGCCTTTCCCCCATCCCACACACCAGAGCCAGGCCTTGGAGGGCTGGAGGGTCCCCTCCCGGCTGCAGGCTGGCCCAGCAAGGGAGAGCTGCATGAGAGTGAAGGCCAGGAGGGCAGGACAGAGCCCCATGACCCCAAGGGGACTTGCTCCTCCTGCTCTCAGAACCACCACGACTTGAGGCACAATTGTGGCAGGCAAGGCATGAGAATGACAGGGGTGAACAGCAGGAGTAGCCCCCCAGTGCCCCCCATTGTCTGTGGCCAGCCCAACCCCACCACGACTGTGTGTGCCCAACCCCCACCCCATGCATGAACTGAGCCCCACATTCCTCATGTCTGATCTCTGAAAGCCACCCCCCAAACCCCATGGTGTGAGCCCACCCCACCCCCGCAAATGCTCCCAGTGCCAATGAGGGGCATGGGCAGATGGTCCCGTGGTTTGTGTGGGGTGGGAAGAGTTGGGGGAGGGGAAGATAAGATGCCCCTGCCCACAGAGGAGCCCCGTGCCCTGTACACTGCCGGGCAGGGAACTCACCGGTAGTGGAAGGGTGCCACGGTGGCAGTGACCGGGTGACTTTGCTGCGGGACTGAGGAGAAGCTGATGGCCGGCTCCTTATTCTGCATGGGGCTGCTGGTGCCCAGCGAGATCCTCGGGGACTTGTCCTCACCCCTGGCTGCCTTGGGCACCCCGCTGCCTTTCCAGAGGGCTTCCGACACCCACTGGCCTTTCACCGGGCAGCTCTGGGGCCTCTTAGCACTGGATCCTTCAGGGGTGCCGGGCAGCCCAGACTCACTGCACAGGCTGAAGCGGGACGGGCTCTTCCCCTGCAGCTGAGGGGTCTTGGCCAGCTCGGCAGTGCCACTCGGCTTCCCCGAGCCCTTCTTGGCGCCATGGCTGGTATAGGCCTCTCCAGGCTTCGGACTCTCCTTCTCTCTCTCTGTCCCTTGAACCAGAGCCTTCTTAGGAGCCCCCGTTGCTCGAGGTGTTGTCTTCGGGCCCCCCCGGGGGCTGCTGCCTGGAGTCCTAGTGCTCTGGCTGAGGCCAGACTCCACTCCGTCGGCCCTTTTGCACTCCGATGGCTCTGCTGTCTCCGGCCCAGGCCCAGCCTCCATGGGGGCTTTGGAAAGGCTCTTCGGCTTGGAGCCTTTGGCCGCCAGGCCGCTAATGCAGCCTGGCGCCTTCCCTGGCCGTGGTGATGCCGCCCGCTGGGAAGGGGGGCCCCCAGGCTGCTCTGCTTCGGGGGCAGCTTGCTCTGGGACATAGCGCGGGGCACCGGGATAGCAGACGCATAATGGCTCCGGCCAGTCACGTTCACGTTGGCCGTCCCATTCATTGTCAGAGGGTCCGCGGGCTGGAGAGGGAAGAGAAAAGCAGAGCAAATTAAAGCTGGGCTTGGGGATGAACGGGGGTTAGAGAGGCCCTGGGGATGCTCCTAGACGGAGTGCTAGAGGGGCCCCTCTGGCAGTGTGGTGCCCAGACTAGGTGGGGCAGAGGAACTGCTGGGGTTTGGACTAATGAGGAGGCCCGTGAGCCTGCCCTTTGGCAACAGGATCTTTTCCTTGGCCTCAGGATCCCTTAAAGATCTGCGTACTTGACTCCCCCTCTCCAGCGCACCCTGGGGGATGGGGTCCCTGTCACACCCAGCCATTTACCCTGGATCCTTTACCCCGGGACTGTATTTTCAGAGTTCTGCTTGAACCTCGGGGAACTGACTGCAGAATCCAGGAAACGGAGAGGCTGTGGTGTCTGCTGGCTACAGCTCAGAGAGAGCATGATCACAGAAAGGGCACCACTCCTTGGGGACCCTGAGCTGGCCCAGCCGAGGGGAGCTGGCTCAGGGGCCCTGCTTCTCTCATTAGCACAGGGGTGTCCTCCGACACGCGGGACCCTGCAGCCAACTTGCCAGGAGCCCCAGTGCTGCCCTCTGGATCCGATCTCATGGCAATAACAGCATCTCTCATCAGCCTGCCTACCCCATCCCCACAAGGATAGACCACTGGCCCTGGTCTAAAAGCCCATCCCAATCAGTGGCAAGAGGGGATGCACCTGGGATGTTTCTGGCTTAGAGAGAAGCAGGAAACGTCAGCAGGAAGCACTAAAAAAGAT